GTGACAGCAGGAGCGCTTACTCATTGGGAGGGGTCCGGACTCGGCACGACTCAGGTATTAGTCGTAAGGTCGCCATGAGGCAGGTCAGAGGGTAGGACATGAGGCAGAGAACTCTGACCAAACGATGGTCAATAGGTACCTGGTCTGTGCACCATTGTATTAGTATATATAGTAGGGAGTCTGAGGCAGGGAACCTCAGACTTGATCTTCTCGTCGATTCCCCATCTCCTCTGTAGGTAGCTAGCAGCCCTACCTCCCTCACTACCCCTTCTAGTCTAGGGAATACATCTCTTCACATCTCTTGCTGTGTCACCTCTGGTTGCTTCGCTTCTCAGCACCAACCTCTGCATCAGTAAGCTTTGCTCTTGTTTGTTTTGGTGGCACAGCTCGTTGGCTGTGACAAAGCCCTAGACAAATCTGCCCAGAACATGCCCGAGCGAACCCGGTTACTAACGGTGGCAGTCGACCCAAAACAACAGGTGTAGTTCTGTATCGGAGGCCTTGCGCGACCTCATACCGCTCAATCCGAAAAAAGTCGGGAATAGTCCAGATTTTGTAAAGGGCCGTTTTGCCTGACTGTGCACGGTGCAAATCGAATGATATCGACCGTAACCGTGTCGATTCTCACTGGGGCTGCTCCCCCATGCCTTCACCCTCAATTCTGCCCGCTGTGTCATTCATTGCGTCCATTTCTGTGGACACACTGACTCATCATCCGCTTCTATCATAATTACTGTCACAGTTTTCTTGTGCCACGTGACCTGAGGGTCATGTGAACCAGGACAGACGCTCACCTTGACCACGGGCAACTCGTATCAGAAAGTGGAGGAGCCAGGATCAAACCCAGGACCTTGTGGGGTCCGGGAGCGCCCATCCTCACTCACTGGCAGGTGACTCACGTGTCAGCAGGGGCGCTTACTCATCGGAGGAAGCCCGGACTTAGCATGACTCAGGTGTTAGTCATAAAGACACCATGTGACAGGTCAGGAAGCAGGACATAAGTCAGCAGACTCTGACCAAGCAGGGACAAATAGGCACCTGGTCTGTGCACCGTTGTATTTGTATAAATAGTAGGGGGTCTGAGGCAGAGAACCTCAGACTTGATCTTCTCGTTGATCCCTCATCTCCTCTGTAGGTAGCTAGCAGCCCTACCTTCTACTGCCCCTTCTAGTCTAGGGAATCCATATCTTTGCATTATCTCTTGCTGTGTCACTTGTGGTTGCTTCGCTCTTAGCACCAACCTCTTCACCAGTAAGCTTTGTCTTTATTTATCTGGTGGCACAGCTCGTTGGCTGTGACAATTATGCATAATATGCGCTCGGTATACATTGCATGGAGGATGCAAAGCAGCACGGAGCTGAGGAATGTATCATATAGTCGTCTCGTTCCCCGAATGAAGTCAAGAAGAGTAACATTGTGCTACATGTCTGTATCTTGGAATGGACTGATATGGCGCATATGTCTGATAGCAACTGTTACGCTGAAGTACTAACACAAGTCTATCCAGACTTATCACGTGGACTTATCCAAGTACGCAGTGCAGCACACGGAGGAGAGAGTATCGCACAAGTCCCTAGATTGAGGGATATAGGGATACAGGAGGTAACAAAGAGGAGAACAGAAGTGGGGAGCCTCTACCGACTACAGGCCTCCTTATATACTATGGGGTACCGACCGTATTAGGAAGGGAAAGGTAACCGACCAAAGTGGGGAGGTATGAGGAGACTGTAAAGGAACGTGTCTGGTCGAGGCTGGGCCCGGTATAGTACACGACCTAGGTCAGGGTCCTGTGATATAACCGAAAGGGGATAGAGGCAGGACAGGGTCCTGAGTCTAGGTCAGGGTCGGGTAATGTAACCGAAAAGGGAAGGGGGCGCAACAAGGGTCTGGGTCTGGGTCAGGGTAAAGTAATGTAACCGAAAAGGGAAAAGGTCAGGGTCGGACTCAGGGTCCGGTCATATAGACGAAAAGGGAAATATTAAGGGAGAGGGCCGGGACTAGGAACGCAGTCGTCAGGGGGCGGAATGGGGAATGGTAGTGTACAGGCGGACAACGGAGGAACGGGAAGGTAAGCATAGGTTGCCGGGAACAGGAAGGGGGGTGGAGTGTACACGAGGGCGAGGAGAAGGAGTAGTCCAATAACAAAAAGATAGGGGGTGGGGTGTACCAACGGTAATATTACCCTCATTTCTAAGCATGATTGTCCCGATCGTTCAACTCCAAGTCCGGCTCTGTGAGCGGCGACGAGGGCGCTGGCGGGTACCAGAGGCCGATGTCCAAGCCAGGATTGGCAGGGTTGAAGTAGCCCCCAGAGATGAAGGTAATGGCGCGGGACGGCGACGATGCGATGGTTGAGGAGGCGGCGGGGGGCGATGGGGAACGGGACAAAGGGTTAGCAGGGGCGGGGCGCTCGGGGCGGAAAGGGGCGGGGATAGCGTCAGCAGGGATGTCGTGGACGACAGCGTGCGGGGATACGGGGGAGGGGCTGCGCGAACGGAGGACCTCCTCGACGGGTGTGGCGGATGTGGCAGGGGTGGGTGGAGGGGAGTCACCGTAACCGAAGACGTCGAGGATCTCATCGTCATAGAAGTTCCCCCACATGCTGCGATGGAGGTTGTTCCATGACATGTTGTCGTAGAGGCGCACAGCGCGTCCGTCCGGTACTGACAGACCGAGACGGGGATGTTGCGGACATTGTACGCATCGACGAGGTTGTCGGCCGCTTCTCTCCATACGTCGTGGTCGGTGACGCGGGCGGCGGGGTCGCGTGCCTGGATCATCGCCCAAAGGAACCCCAGGTACTGAGTCTCCGTGAACCGTCCACTGGGGTGAAGGTTGTCGCCCAAGACGCCGATGAGGTAGGTGTTGTCGACGCCAGGGATTTGCTCCCACCGCTCGTCCCAGGCGTAGCTCGGGAGTTGGACCTCGAGGAGAGCAGTCCCGTTGAGGTGTCCTCAGACTCGCCACTCCCAAGGGTGTCCGCCGACATGACGGGGTTCTTCCGGTCCGATCTGCCAGCCGTCCAGGAGTCGCTTGTCGTAGAGGAGGGCCCCTCCGTATGCTGGGTGGCCCAGGAGGGGCGTCCGCCAGTGGACTGTGGTGGGGCCCAGGGCGGGGGCGGGGTACGGGGGGGTGCGGGGCCTGGGTTGGCGGAGCGGCGGGGTCGGAGGGGCAGGGGGCGCGGACAGGGCGTCGGGGTCGGTGGCGTCGGTGAGGTCGCCTCCGCTGATGGTGCCAAGGACCATATGGACGGCCGAGGCCGGCCACTCCAGAGGCGACGCGGGGTCGACAACCACGGCGATCGGGGGTGCGTTCTCGTTGGCGGGGCTCAGGGAGTGGGGGGTGGGGCTGGGGGAACGGGGAGAGGGGCGCGTACGGGTCGGAGGGGGTGCGCCGAAGCGGAGGTGGTCAGGCATCGGGCGGAGGTGCTGCGGTGTTGGTGAGGGGGAGTCGCGGGGCGGAGGGGAGTGACGCGGACGCTCCACAGGGGAGGCCCACTCTATGTCGGCCTCGTTCATAGGGACGTCCCCCCAGTTGGTGTTGCGCCAGTTGATGTTGGGGTCACCCCATCCGGAGACGTCGGCCAGGTTCCCCCATTCCGGGGCGGGCAGAGGCGGGGTGGGGGGAATAGGAGAGGCGGCGTGGCTGTCATTGGTGGCAATGACATGCTCCAGCCAGGTCCGCTCGTGTTTGCGGTCAACCTGCTCTATGTGATTGACGAGGTTAGCGATGAGGAAAAGATGATGGGGGGCGCAAACGATATCTAAGGCGTGGTCAGACATGGCAATCGTCGTAGCCCGCAGCTGGGAGACGGTGTCGTAGGCCCGACGTTGGTCAGTCCGGTCGGTGAGCTCGCCGACGTCCCAGTCAAGGGTCCGGAGGTGGGTGAGGGTGACGACCGATTCGCCGTAGATGGCCCAGGTATGACTGGCGGGCGGGATGTCCCAGAATCGCCATTCCAGGACGTTGCGCAACTCCGGGCTGGGTTGGAGAAGGAGTCACCCAACGTATTGGCGTTGGGAGGTCTGGCCGTATCCCATCTATAAAAACCACCTTTGCGAATTACACCTATTTAGTACAAATTAGCTCTTAATAGACACAGTAGTTGGATAGTGAAAAATAGCGCAAAATCGAGAGGTCCCCAAAAATAATTGCACTATTTTGCACTATCAATGCAAATTCGTGCAAAGTAGCACTATAGTAGACGGAAATAGTGCTATAGTAGACGTTGATAGTAGTGGATAGAGTAGGTCTATGATTTCTGACTGGTGTAGAGATGCTTTCTATGACCTCAAAACCATCTGTTTATAAGCCCCAAATGCATTTAAAGTGCTGGAAAAATATATGAAAAAAATGTCCTTAGCCAGTCTTGAACCCTCAACCTTACCTTTATATGACACCTGTTCCGAGGTGGTGCTCTATGCCATTGCACCACCAGAGCTTATATAGATCCTCCCCACAAGTATTATATATATCCATCACTGCTGGACTTGG